ACTGGTTTTGCTTTGAAATTTCTTGTATATTTGTTACAGGCAAAAGGAATGAGATAGACCAACTCAGTCCTTTTGAAGTACTGTGATGGCTGGCAGGTACTTTTGTAGTTGAAATGAAAAGCTGATTCTAGAGTTTGTGAAGAGAGAAGGCTTGTTAAGTGAACTTGATGAGGAACCATCATAAATACATGTCTAAATTATGTATCAACTTTCTCTTCATCTGAAGGTCTGTTTTGACGATGCGTTAAAAAAGTAGCTTTGCTCTATGTGCCAACCAAAACTGGAGGGATACAGTGAGTGTCTTTGAAATGAAAATTCACTTGGTCACACATAGTTCTAAATGGAAAAGCACTGCCCCCTCTCTTACTGAGCACAGTGGAAAAGATGAATTGAATCAGTTTTATCCCACACCCAGCATCATAGCAGACATATAGAGAGTTATTGGTGTCACCTCTGTACTGCCAGTGTCCTTCACAAAGAATCCCAGGGGTATATATTGGTCCAGGTTTTCTCCTAGCAGTGACAGCAAAAACTGGGAGGTGAAAGAACTGTACCTGTCTCGTACTCTGCCACAGACTGGTAAGGGTGGTTCAGGACAGTTCATTTCATGTTTGGTTTCTGAGGAACCTCATCTTCAATGCCGAGCTAACGATATGTGGCTGCTGTAAGGATATAAGGAATTCTGTAAATGCAAAGTCCTATTTGGTTTTCCTAGAGCATGAAAAATGTGATGCAATGTAATAACTAATCTGGTGAATCAGGTTCTATATAGAGATGGTTATTTTTTACTTCTAAAATTCTGATGAATTTTAAATCTGCTTTGAACTTCAGAGAGCACTCTTCAACACATTTACACAAAATCAAGGTTTTTGTGCATATCGCATTTCAGTGTTTCTTATTAAGTTAAGGGTTTTGATTAAATGAGTAAACTTGTTTTGCTTTACAAATGATTTGTTATGATTTGTTAAAGAATTATCATCAATTCTATTAGATAGCACCATCAGTTCATGTGCCGTAACACAAAACGAGTAGGCAGAAACTGTTCCACTCTCTGGTAAAGCAAGTGGGCTTTACCCGAAATATTGAATTCAGTACTACACTGTGCGACACTTCAGTGTAAGCGCAGGGTGTTGTGGAAAGATGGGCATAGGGATGTGCCAGCAAAGAGCTGTAGGTGGGGAGTGGAGGAGCCGAGCAGATGCTTTGCCCACTTCTCGTGGGTGGCTGTGCCAAGTTCTGTAGTTGCAGGGGTGAGAGTGGGCTGTTGGAAACCTGAAGAAAGCATCGAGTCACGCAGAACCTTTTTGGTGGAAATAACTGCCTTGAGCATGAGGTAATCTGTCTGGAGAATTTAATTTCCAGCGCAAAGACATATAAGTTCCTATTTTGAAGCCCAACTGATAGACTTTATACTCAGTAGAATGGAGATTGCATCTTAATTTGTACATGTCAGGGCCAGCAGAAACATTGCTACTCTTGTGTGCTTTCACTCCGGGTTTAATGTGCTGTACAGACTTTGTTGTTAACTTTAATTTTAAGTGGTAGTGTTCAAATAATTAAGAAAATTTCCCCAAAGAGTTTGAGACCAGTCTTGAATCATAGCTGTTAAAAAATGCATGCATTTGTTTAAAGCAGGGTCTTGCCAAAAGGTCCTTGGTTTTCTTTTCCTCTTGTTTTCTTCTCAGTGTATTTTCTAGCAGTTAGCGGTAGGAAAGCGAAAGATTGGATTTTTCAAAGGCCTCTGTGTTGACCCATTTTTGCTTTCATGTAAGCCACTTGTGAAACTTCCAGTAGTTTCTCTTTCAGCAAGGTTAGACCGATGCTACATCTTAGTAAATGTCAACCTAAAATTATATAAGACCTATACAATGATTCAGAAACTAATACTACATTGCAGTTCTATCTTTCAATGCCATTTTCACACATGTCGCGGAGATCAACATTTCTGTTGAAATGCTGTTGAGGCAAGTTGCAGAAATTAATTTACAGGTTGTTAGAAATCTGAATTTTCTGATTGTTTCACTTTCCAATCTCACTTCCTCATTTATTTTCTTCTTTCTCTCTCTTACTTTTTTCATATTCAAAGGAGAAGCCCATTTTATAATCCTTGGTTTTCCATGTAGTTCATCTCCAGAGAATTTCTTTCTCTTTGAACTACTAACAAGAATGTGGAGCATAAGCAAGTCTTCAGTCACGTTCAGCGAATGAATTTCTTGCCAGCAGGGGTTCTGATATTTTCCATGCCATTTATCTACAATAAAAGTTTACTGGTTGCTGTATTAAAAATGACAAACCACTGTAAGTAATCAAAAACACTAAGTCTGTTATTTCAGGAACGTTGCTGGCTTTTCTGTAAGAAATACAGGAAAGCAGAAGGACTCTAGTTTTTAAGGGTATTTGAGGCTGATTTGCAAAACAGTTCATTAAGCACTTAAACTTTCCAGTGGTTAATTTTTTTTCTTCCATATCGCTTGCACTTCCATGAGTGAACTACTGTACATTTTAAAGTTAACTGCTTGACATTAGACCATGACTAGTGGCATGACATTACCTTGACACATAGTATATATAATTAGTAGGTGTTAAACTTTTTGTCCCTACGTTTTAGAAAATTACTGTCTTTACTGTACAAATACAGCCTGACCTGAAAATGGCAGTGGTTAGTCATCTTTAATTGGATGACCTGTCTAATATTAATGATGTACATGCTGTTCCTAGGAAACAGCAGAAGACCTTAGCTGACAGTAACCGCAGAAGCGAATGGTGACATTTCACAATGTTTGTCAGGCACCAGAAAGGCACGACATTTTAAGATACTTTTTCCTCAATCGTTTATCAGGTTGTAATGTACCATGCAGTCAATCTAAGAGGGATGTAAAAGCCTTCTAAAAGCCATAATGATGTGATGGCTGAGGTTTCACCAGAGATACTGAGATATTTATAAACTTGATTGCTGCATTTAATTTCTTATGACTTGCCCTGAAAGATGTTAGCATACAACCATTCATTTGTTATCACAAACCTCTGTATCTGGGCTGAAATTACATTTAAGCGTTTATAAACGTCATGCTCACATTGTCACACAAGACATACTTTTTCTATTGTGAATGAGAGATTATAGTTTGAAAAGATATTGTCAGAAAATGAATAAAATTAAATAAGAATTTTAAATATTCAAGCAACGGAAGTATTCCTTTGTGTTTGTCATATCTTGGACCATGGTAATCCATTAAAACAATTTTACCTTGGGTTTTTTGGGGTCAAATACATGAGAAAAATAGTTATATTTCTTCATGCTGCTTCTCCGTTAAAGCTACCTCCAGTTCTCTGCAGTGAAACAGGAGCACGTCTGCTGGTTTGGAGAAACTGTTTAAAAGTTCGTCATCAAATTGAGATTTACTAGAGTCTTTTCATAAAAAAAACCCCAACACATTCTGTAAGGCAATTACAATTACAGAATCCTATGAAGGGTGATTAAGGTATGCATTAAATGGCTCATGAAGGATTAACGGGAAGAGCAGCTCTTCCTCTAGCTAAGTAGCATGCTAGCAACAGGTGACCAAGGGCTGCTCCACAGAAGCCTGAAGCTTTTAAAGGTGGTGTGGCAGGAGATACTCAATGAATAGGCCCGGGAACCCATAAAGTGAAGGGTGCTGGCTGAAGGACTGGACAGCTGGCATCCTTGGCATTTGAGGTGTCTGTGGGTGTCCATGGGGTGGAGGAGAAGGAGAAGGTTCCTTTGGGAGCCGTAGTGGACCTGGGATGCTGGCTGCATTGCAGAGTTTTTCACTCAAACTCGGGCAGCTGGGTTTGCTGAACTCGGCCAACAGAGCCATGGCCTCAGCTCGCAGTCTGCCCTCCAGCCTGGACTTCGTGGTCTTAGAGAAAAAGATGATTAGGAAAGGATTTAAGTAAAAGAGACTCCAAAAAAGGTTTCCAGAAGGTACACCCCGAGCTGCAATTTTTACTTTTAACATGAAAGGCAGAAATGCAAATGCAAATTAAGGGTTTCATTAACTGCAAAGTCGTATCAGCGGATAGTAGCCTGTGGAAGCTCCCTCGGCTTTTTGGGGACTGTAATGATAACTCATGACTTTAGCAGCATTGCCCCTTTTTCCAGAACTGACTCCCTGACTTTGCCCGTGATAGGCACGCACAACTAATGTCTGAACTGTTAATTCCCGCAGAGCCAGCTTGTAGCAGTATTTTGTTTCCCCTGAAATAAACAGTAAAAAGCGAGTTTTTTTCCCTTGGAGCAGCTGCAAAGTTTATATGGGAGAAGGACCCATTCTTTCCAAGTTCTTTTAGATGTAAATTATGCTGTTGAAATGGTGAAGAGTTTTCCTAAAATTGCCCGATACAGTGTGAAATTCCGTATATTCTGATACTGATCAGAAACCCAGTATTTCTTTGGTTGCTGTGCCCAGGGGTAAGCAAACGGGCAGCGCTGGGGAGCTGGCAGAGAACAGTTCCCACCTGTGTGGACCGCACAGCCTTGTTCTCCGCAGCCAGAGGATGGATAGGAGATAGTTTCCTTTGCTTCAGTGAAAAGTATAAGAAAATGCCCAGGGGAGCTAAAATATGAACGCAAAGTTAAGTTTTGAAGCAGGGCTGTTATTCTGTGCGCTCCTATCTTTTCTTCTCGTTCTTTTGCATTCACTTTTAGATTAGTTTTTTAACTCTTGGTTTGTTAGCAAAACTTGGAGTTCTGGTGACACCTCACTGCCAACGGGATTCTTTGAATACTGGTTTCACACTTTGTGTTATAAGTAATGTTACTTTTTCTTTACCAGTCTAAAAATGGTCATTGTTTCCTTTCATTGAAAATCACTGTCTTTTGTTGAGTGGTGTAGGGA